AGAACATGTTTTCCATTTTCTAATTTTTGATAATAATTTTTCAAAATACCAAAAAGAATACATTTTCTACAATTTCAAAATAGACTCAAAACACAGAATACAAAATGAATTTAAAACTAAAAACGAAAAGCTGAAACATGAAGAGAACGTCTCCTTAATTTTTTTGGGAGAAGTTAAATGATATCCACAAAAAAAAAAAATGTAATCTTGTTTCGGACAATTCTATCGCACCAAGCGTATACTATTTCAAGCTTGGCTAGTCCACCAACCTGTCATGATATTGATCGTAACCCAAAAAAATAAGAAAAGTGTTTATTTATTATTATTTTATTTATTTATTTTTTGCAAGAAGATTGTATTGTGCTAATTGTTTGTTATAGTTTATGTGCTGTTTTCATTCATTTTTTTTTTGTAGAAGAACAAATAATTAAAATAAATTTTCTTATAAATTAGTTTATTCAAACTGAGTATATGTACACTAGCAAAAAAGTCGATTTGAATTGTATTAAATTATATAATTTGTTATCTTGATTTTGAGCTCATTCTTTTTCTTAAAGTTCCACGATATACTTACTCTTAACGATTCTTTGATGAACACTTATATTTTATTGTGGTATTTGCTTGTCATTGAGGCACGGATGAATTATTTTTTCTCCTGTAATGTGGCTCTCTCTAGTGAGATGTGTTGAATTCAAGAGATTTGCATGAAATGAATATGATATCGTGATTTTTTAATGTAACTAATATATGGTAGTATTTTGCACGTTTCTCCATGATGAAAATTGAATTTACTTGGTTGAGCTTGTGATGATTGATATATTAGTTGTTGAATCTTCCATTATGGTACCCTGAGGTTTATCCAGTTCTGAAAATCAGCCATAGTTTCCAAGATCAACACAGCAGAGAGGTTGTACATGTTTGGCCAAACAAGATAGATAAGAACCGAATCGACTAATTTGTAATTCTAAATTAACTTTTGAGTAACCTAATACTTGCCTTGAACTAGCTTTTTCTTGATTATGCATAGATTTTGCTGATGCATCAATGTATTTGATTAATTAAACGGGTGTTTGGAAGGTGGAGCAGAAGAATTCCTGTTGAAACCTGTCAAATTAGCAGATTTAAGGAAACTTCATTCCCACCTCCTTAATACAACTAACATTAATGACACCAAAGAACAGAATGACAGCATAATAGACAATGACCTTAACAACAACAATACTAACAAGAGGAAGGCAACATCACAGAAAACTCGGAAAGAAGACCCCGAATTCAAGAATTGCATGTGTCCTAATTTACAGTGATAGAATGACCATATGTGTTACAAGCAACGGTGTATTACCTGCAAAATGGTTTGCTAGCACATGATCATAGAGTAATATTGAAGACTGTAGCGCGTATAATTCATGCACGAAATTTATGGTTTCTAATTTAAATTAACAAAACTGTTATGATCCATGAAATTTATAAAACCTGAAACTAGCATTTGTATCCCAAACGAGATTCTGGCTTTTATTGTAAATCTAATTCTAGGGGTGGGAAAATGCCACAAGGGGGAAGGAGGGGGTTGGGAAGTTTTGAGGAGCAGGATAAGATTCTCTTCACAAGGCGTTTCTAGAGACGCCAAAATCATCAAATCATCCTTTTTTTTTTTCACGAAAGGACATTCCACAAATATAATGATGATGCTCCACCTGCAAAAAGGAGAGAACCAATATTTATTAAACTTGACATGAATGAAAACCAAAAGCTTCTTTCCCGTGTTTGAAATTTAGTTACCATAATTACAGCTCCTCCTTTCTTGATTCTGGTTCTGCAACCGCAGCACGATTCTTCCGAATAAAACCAATTATATCTTCCTTCGTTCTATCTCCTTCATATGGCGAAATGTTTCCACTTGCTGTCTTGAAATATAATGTTGGATAACCTTTAACGTCAAAAGTTTCATTTGGGATATCATTTGCAGTAGCATCCTACAAAAGGCAAGAAAAGGAGCAATTCAGTTATATCTTAAGTTGAATTTCAAACGAAAAATTAAGATCTGTATCACAAACATCAACTAGAAGGTAAATTATAGACAAACTACAGGATTAAAGCAAGTGACATTTAACCAGACTAATCACCGTTGAACGTGCGATGCACGTTATTATGAAATGCTTTATAAGTGCTTTCAAAGTAATATTTGAATACGTGTGAACATTAATTAATTTAGAATTAATATACATGTTACAATGAATGTTAAATCATTTATTTAATTTCCAATTAACTAAAACCCGAAGTTAATTAACATACATGGACGTTAATAATGAAATTCATTCTTGAACGTGGAATTCTAATTAACTTATAATTAGAATTAATAACACTAAAATAGAATTCATACATTAATGAAAGCACATAGGTGAAATAAATTTGTCAAATGTACATATACATTGATGGTAACTAAATGGTTAATAAATTAAATACATGTTGAAAAACGAAAAGTAAGATATCGTTGAAATAATTGAATTATAACATGGGTAGAATCATTCAAAAAATTATTCTCACTTGATGTGATATTTAATATATTATAGATTAAATGCATTGGATGACAAGTGGATAATTCTAGATGTGTTTTTACAATTTTCTTTTACTTCAAGGCTTATCAAAGTGCAAGGATACGAAAAGTTGCAAATAAAATTTGAACTGATGTGTATATGCAATTATGATTTCGTTTTCTAATTGAAAATTTTGCTGTCATNTAAAATGGGTGTCAAACATAGTGTTAATTTCCAATTAACTAAAACCCGAAGTTAATTAACATACATGGACGTTAATAATGAAATTCATTCTTGAACGTGGAATTCTAACTAACTTATAATTAGAATTAATAACACTGAAATAGAATTCATACATTAATGAAAGCACATAGGTGAAATAAATTTGTCAAATGTACATGTACATTGATGGTAACTAAATGGTTAATAAATTAAATACATGTTGAAAAACGAAAAGTAAGATATCACTGAAATAATTGAATTATAACATGGCTAGAATCATTCAAAAAATTATTCTCACTTGATGTGATATTTAATATATTATAGATTAAATGCATTGGACGACAAGTGGATAATTCTAGATGTGTTTTTACAATTTTCTTTTACTTCAAGGCTTATCAAAGTGCAAGGATACGAAAAGTTGCAAATAAAATTTGAACTGATGTGTATATGCAGTTATGATTTCGAAGATTAACTTTTAAAACGACAGTAGTTTGTAGATGATAAATACTGGTATCAACTGATGTACATATGCAGTAATGATAAATTTAAACTTTTTCTAGTGTAACACATATTTCAATGACCATTTACAGTACAACCAAACAGATTTGCCATGACCTCTAATGAAGGGAAGGAAAAAAAATAGAATCTAATTAATTAATTTTTCTAGTCCTATCCAATATTTATAACAAACATGCACTTTAAGTTTATATTAGAGCCCCATATAATTATCAGATGTAGATAGAGGTGAACAGTGCAACATTTCATCACGTATCATTTTCCAAGTCATAATATTAAACTAAGGTGGCAAAATATCAAAACAATATTGGTGGAGTATCTTACAATTTTAGCAATGATAACATCAGGATCACTTTCAAATGATACGGCAACTTCATCCAAAATTGGAGCTAATTTTTTGCAGTGTCCGCACCACGGAGCATAGAACTCCAATAGAACTGCATGTAAATTAAGACGTGATGTTAGGGGGATCCAAAAGCTAAAAAGAAAGTACAATTGAGAAAGCTTCTCCTCTAATGAGATAGTGACATTTAAGGACTCGTAATATTGCGTGCAAAAACTGAGAAAGGCATGAGCACAGACAGACATGTAGTCAGGCAAACTAGCACGCAAGGTAGTGATAGAGAAGAGGAGGTGTTTTGTAACATCAAATTGATAAAAAAGAAAGAAAGAAAGAAAGAAAGAAAAGAAAAGAAGATCAGTGAGCTTATACAATCCCAAATAGTGAGATCACAGAACATATAGTGGACACAACTGTAACTCCTACTTGGTCACGGGGGGAAAATGCTAAGTATCACGGCAACAGATAAAATCAATAAGTAAACTAACGTGCAACATAAAACCTGAAATTTGTTATGTCAATAAACAGAAAAGGCAGAAAAGTTTAAAATTGTTACAACCGTAAAACTGTAAAAAAAATGTTAAATATGTGAATATTGATACTCACCATTTTTCCCTGAGTTGAAGACAATGTCCTGAAAGTTGTCAGCAACCACCACCTTAACAGGTTCATCGTTGGCCTCCGGAATGGGCTCTGACTTTTTGTATGGTTGCACATTACCGTCCTTCATAAATGATAAAACAGTAGTTATTAGTTAATTGCTGCCAGGAAAAAGCTACAAAAATGATTTGCTTGCAAAATGCGAGTCTTAATAATTTATATCATTCGACGAAATGTAAAAATGCAAGATTGTATAAAAACTAGTTAAATAGAAAACACCATTTTTAAAAGGTAAATGAAAGATATAAGGATCATCAATGCTGTGGAGAGGCTTTCATTGAAAGGCGGAGTGAAGGCCTTATGGGAAGAACTGAAGAAGGATTCTATACCGTAAAGTCCTTGACCCATGCTGCAATCTGATCAGGCTCAACATTTGGCTTTAGATATTTCTTTCCATCATTTGTCTGTATGATTATCAAAGGAACCTGATCGTCCTTAATCCCAAAATACTGTTCATAGAAGCCAGCAATATGACAAGTTAGTAATGACATGTAAGGAAAATAGCAAGTCGATAAAACAGAAGAAGGCTATGTACAAACCTGGAAAGCACCTTGACTAGCCTCGATATCACCCATTAGAAAACTTAGGCCCTTGCCCTTAAACTGCTCAGAAACAACATGATATTTTGATCTAAAAGCATCATGATGCTCACTGCTGAAGTTCAGGAATAACATTGCCTGCCATCAAAACCAAGAGATGGTCATAAAATGTTCACAACAATGAAAAGAAAATAACTTGGAGTAGAGTTGTACAAGA